ATATATATATATATATATACATACATATATATACATATATATATATACATATATACATATACATATATATATATACATATATATTGCATGGCCATTTTCCAGCATCTAACTTTATTATTTGTAATATTAACAAAAATTTACGTTTGTTTTTGTAATTTAGTTTTGAGCTGACATGAGCTTTACCCATTATCTTAAATGAGGTCATATCAGAGATAGAGAGCAACAGTCGTAACAGAGCATTTTACAGATTTTTTAAAGCTCTTTACAGTTTAAAAATAGTGTACACTGAAAGAGGTTTTGTGTCGTTTAATTTCAAAAGAAAAATTTTAATGTCCATTATATGGCCCCTTGAAGTATCTTAATGGAGAGGTAGCGGCATATAAGTTGCCATTAAATTGTGTTGTGTTGACGCTGCTGTTCTGCGCACAATTCTTTAGGCTGAAATATAAAAACCCATCCAAAAAGGAAGAATCCATGTCTGATGGCTCTTTCTCTCTCACAACCTCTCTCCCTCTCCCCTTCTGTTTGAAGAGCCAGTTTTGCTCCACATAAAGCGCTCTAACAAGCAATTCAGGCCAGGTCTGTTTCTTCAGCTCCAGAGAGCTCCAGTCTAGCCTGTGTAATCAATCACAGTGTAACCATCTATTCCTGAAGACCTGCTGAAGCAAATGATATGCAGTAGCAGTCTCAGTACCCAGTTAACGGCCCAGAAAGGGGTTAGTCTGAAGAAGAAAAAAAAATCACATTGCACACACCGTTAATAAAGTAGATTAGCCTGGAGAATTTTATCTTTAATTTAATTGCTTGAGTTGTTTAATAGTTAATATTGTTTAAACAAAGCGTAAATGTGATATTTAAAGTGATATTAAAAGAAGAAATGGATCTGGTGTCAAGTAACAACTGCATTTTTGATGTATCTCAGTAACATCAAGATACAATGCTTTCCATATTACTAGGGCCTAAAGCATGTGAAGTAAGTTTTATGATGAACAGGTCTAATTCATGAAACAAGCGCAATAAGTAAATTCTACGTGTAAATTTAAATGTAATTCTTGCGTAAATATAATGCAAATGATTTACGAATGATGTATGTAAAAATTGCTTTTTTTAATGAAGAATGTAAGTATGTTTTTTATGGAAAATTGATTGTGTTCTTGCAACAGTTTACACACAAACTGTTTTAAAGGGGTCATATGATGCGATTTCAATTTTTCCTTTCTCTTTGGAGTGTTACAAGCTCTTGGTGCATAAAGAAGATCTGTAAAGTTGCAAAGACTAAAGTCTCAAATCCAAAGAGATATTCTTTATAAAAGTTAAGTGTTAACCACGCCTACCTAAAACTACTCGTTCTAACACCCCCACATGTCTATGTCACGATGTGGGAAGATTCATTTAAGTGACTAATTACCCATCAGTTCAGGGCACAGCGAGAAACCGTGTGTGTGTTTGCGAAAGAGAAAACAACAGATTTTTAGAAATGCAAATATTTATTTTGAACAAGTCGAGTGAAATGGTTCTTTTACCAGATTGCTCTGAGATGGTTATGCGAAGATCTGTGTCTTCTAACTACAGCATTTTCTGTCGTGTTTAGATATTCTGGGTGACGTCTCAGGTAATGTCAGTTCAGCAATGCTCTGTTTACCTGACTTCTGAAACCTTCGAGTTCAGCGCAGACATTAAAATGCTTTTAACGCTGAGAAAAAAACGGCAGATGATCCTTTCATAAAACTGACAAGCAAACAACGTCGCCTAGCAACAGAAGCTGCGCCGAACCGCCATTGTGTTTGGAGCCAGAGATTCAAGCGAGACATTTATAGCTAGAGGCCAGTTTGTCTGAGATGATAGGTTACTGTTCTTTATCATTTTGTAAAAGGTCTGGGTCATGTTATGAGAAACATTTCAGAAAATAAAAACTTGACTTTATTGCTGCTTCTCACATAACTGCACAAAAAAAAAAAAAGTACTTTAAAGGAGAAACATTATGCACTTTTGGAGCATTTTATTATTTCCAATATAAAAAAAATTGTTTATTTATTTACAAAGCAGGCCTATTATTTGGATTTTTGTAACGTTTCTTCAGCTCCAGAGAGCTCCAGTCTAGCCTGTGTAATCAATCACAGTGTAACCATCTATTCCTGAAGACCTGCTGAAGCAAATGATATGCAGTAGCAGTCTCAGTACCCAGTTAACGGCCCAGAAAGGGGTTAGTCTGAAGAAGAAAAAAAAATCACATTGCACACACCGTTAATAAAGTAGATTAGCCTGGAGAATTTTATCTTTAATTTAATTGCTTGAGTTGTTTAATAGTTAATATTGTTTAAACAAAGCGTAAATGTGATATTTAAAGTGATATTAAAAGAAGAAATGGATCTGGTGTCAAGTAACAACTGCATTTTTGATGTATCTCAGTAACATCAAGATACAATGCTTTCCATATTACTAGGGCCTAAAGCATGTGAAGTAAGTTTTATGATGAACAGGTCTAATTCATGAAACAAGCGCAATAAGTAAATTCTACGTGTAAATTTAAATGTAATTCTTGCGTAAATATAATGCAAATGATTTACGAATGATGTATGTAAAAATTGCTTTTTTTAATGAAGAATGTAAGTATGTTTTTTATGGAAAATTGATTGTGTTCTTGCAACAGTTTACACACAAACTGTTTTAAAGGGGTCATATGATGCGATTTCAATTTTTCCTTTCTCTTTGGAGTGTTACAAGCTCTTGGTGCATAAAGAAGATCTGTAAAGTTGCAAAGACTAAAGTCTCAAATCCAAAGAGATATTCTTTATAAAAGTTAAGTGTTAACCACGCCTACCTAAAACTACTCGTTCTAACACCCCCACATGTCTATGTCACGATGTGGGAAGATTTGCATAACAACGCCCAAATGTTCACGCAAAGAAAGAAAGCATAACTTTTATTCTCGCTGTAGTATTGTAG